AATGTTTGGAAATGTAAACTGATATTTCCTACTAACACACTACAGCAAAAGATAGAAATAACTGACTTAAAAAAAAATTGAGCTGGTAAAAATACTAGTGTTCTAATAATTTTGGCCACCACTGTAACACACAAACCTAGTATAATCGACTTTGTAGGCGGCCGCATCCTCTTTCTGCGCCCTCTGACGGAACTGTGATGGGGTCTCCAGCTTCCAGTAGTTCAGACAGAGCAGAAACATCTTACTGAGCTCATACATGGTCTGCCTCTCCTTAGAAGCCAAATGACTGAACTTATACTGGACAAAGTTCAGCACCCCCTGAGAGAGAGAGACAGAGAGAGAGCATCTTGAGTGCAGAACAACTCACACAACAATAATGACCTACATTAGAAGACAAATGTCCCACCCTTCTTCTCACCCATAAAGGCATTTTACATGGATTGTGACTGGAAGAAAACTGTTTGCCACCTTTCTTATACACAACACACACGTACTTGTTCTATGTTGGGTTTTTCAAAGGGAGGGCTACCGAGAGAGCCTTCCACCACTGGCTTCCCCATCTGCAGAATACACTTCCTCAGCAACTAAGAAAAGAAACAAACAGTCAAACAAACAGTCAAACACACAGGCAAAAATGTGAAATATTCAGCTGACAGATAAACAAAAACATCTTAGAGGCTTTTTTAACATATTAGTAATTCATCTTGGGTGTGTTTGTACTTTAAAAAAAATGAATGAAGCAGATCACATCTGCCTGTTTACCTTGAACAGATAAAAGTAGACTTGCTTGGTATCCGTGTCTTCTTCTTTATGGACAGACATGAAGAGATTCTCCACGTCCACCACCATCCCCAACAACCGGTTAATCTCCTCCTCAGACACGTTCTCCAGGTGAGACACATGCTCCGCTATAGAAAAACACACAAGATAATGTAAACAACAATAATGATGCATTATATGATGTAAACTACACAGTTAACATCTAGTAGCCTGTATATCCACAAAGGTTGTATTTACGCTGCTTATTTCTGGTTTGCAAAACATATTTTATAAATTGTCCATTTAGGGTGATAATTGCTACGCTTGACTTTATTATTTTTGTGCTTTTGCATATTTATTAATTAGACCATGTCCATTGTTCACACTTCGCTGTGTTTAAAGTATTTTCAAATACTTCGCTTAAATCACAGTTTGTAATGTGTAAGTTCACCTCATAGCTGGATGGCTTGGTTCATGGTTTATAACTCTGAAACGAAAACTTTTCAAACCCCTATGGGAAATATTAATCCAGAAGCAAGGCAACTGGAAAAAGTGGCTGGCCACTGTTGCACAATATCATGCTGGACCAGCTTATTTGGATGATACCAAGTAGAGTCATGGGTCTGATATGGTGTGATGTAATAAAACCGACAAAGAGGCATTCATCTTACCCAAAGAGTGTCCACAGCTTCGGCAGGCCTCCGTCAGACTGGCTGCCTGCTGCTGGAGCTCCATACGAGCGGCTGTCGGCGGATTGGGGTTTTTCCATCCATTACATTTGCAAGCATCATTCGCCTGTAATAGAAGAGAACACAGCTGTGATTTAAAGAACTGTCAATGAGGACAGTAAACATCAGGTTCATCAGGTAAATACTGACAAAACATTTTGATTTATAATAATGCAGTGGTGATAACACGACAATAAAATGAGATATATTGAAAATGTCGAATGTATGGTGCATGTTTTAAAAACATACATAATAAATGCATTTAATTAACCACCATAGGCTAATTTCACATTATATAAAAGCTGGTATAAAACATATTAAGCTACCCATTTTAAAAGCATTTTTTAGAAATGCGATTCATTTTTCATTCTTTAGTCCATATAGAAGTTTTCATAGTCTTGTGTTTTTATTTTCCAACCTTAAATCACCTTTAGGCTTTTAATACTTGATGAAGATAAGTTTAGATTTGTATTGGTACTAGGACACATGCGTGACTAGTTTGCAGGCTGTTACTGAAGCAGTCACACATGACAGGCCCGGGCACTCGCTCTATTGTTATGAGCCGAGCTCTCGGTTACCTTGCAGGAGGAAAACACTCCGAGTTTCTCCAGTTTTTTAGCCCGCGGAAACGAGCGGACTTGGGCTTTCTTCTGGCTGGACCACTGCTGCTGACTCAGGCCTGGTCGGGCCGGGTCGCTGCTCCCGGCTCCGGGGTGCGGGTTGGATCCTGCCGGGCCGCTGGACTGAGCTTGCTGAAGCCGGGGCTGCACGGAGGTCTGTGCAGCCGGGTCCGCCATATCAGCAGCCATCAATTCCTATCCTAGGATCGCCGCGCTCACTTCCACCCTGTGCCGCTTCAATAAAGTTTTGTGATGGGTTTCGATACGCGTTCTGACCACTGAACTGCGCCTGCGCACTATAGGAGGTTGCTGGGAAATGGAGTATTAGGCAGTACTACAGAATTAAACGTTACAATACTTTCCACTGGGGGGCATGAAACACTTGAGCTGCTTATTGCAATATATCACTTGAAAAGAGCAAATTAAGCATATTTATTAAACTTATATTTATCTAAACTTATTTATATTTAGTAGCAAAATGCATTTTGGCATTTTGCTAAAATGTCAGTCAGCTAACACATTAGCTGGACTGATTTTTTTTATTTTTTATAAATGTTAAAAAAAATACCATAAGGCATTTTGCTACTAAATATAAATAGGTTTCTACACATTTATGATCTTTAGGATCTTTTAGAATATTTAGGATGGAAATCTTAAGAAACAATTCCGTTTCAGTTATTCTGCATTTACTAACCTGTTTCTAAATGCAACAGAAAACACCTTTTTATGTTCACTCTCGTTTTAATATTTTCAAATCTCTGAATCGTAAAAATTGGCCTCACATAGTGTATATATTTAACAAAATATAAACAAAATGTATTTAGATAAAATATCACTAACAACAAAACTAATTCGTATTTAGAACTACCAGTCAGAACCTACATGGTCTCACGAGCCTTAAAGGTGCACTCAGCAATGTTTCTCCTTGTTAAAAAGTTTTACTCCTTAATAAATGCATAGTAATTTTGAAACAGTAGTATAAAATCAAGAACACATCATAATAAAAGTCCAATCAAATCTGTTACCTTGTAAAAGCGGTTTTATCAAACATGGAGAGGGTCCCCTCAGGGGGGCTGCCATGTTAAGATCACATGACCAGCCAAATACTATTTGGCTAATCTGAGTAACCACCCTGTTATTGGACACTTTCACTCATGGATGAACTTAATCATGATTGACTGTGAACAGTGATTTTATACAATAGCATCAGTAACTCAAAACGACTGCCAGCACAACATAAACATAATAGTACTGAATACACCATTACTTACTATGCTCCCTCCACAGCAGCAAAAGATGCACATTCGAGAATCATTAACGAAAACGAGCGCCTTTTAAATCCATTTAGTAACTGTGAATAATTAAAAACCAGTTCTCCATTCCCAACCATATTTAGAGCAGGAATAAAAAATAAAAAAAATACTCCAAATCACCACCTACTTTTAGAAATAACAACACAACAAACAGAATGTATACCTTCCCCTCCTTTATTGGTAAAATTACAAGTTCTATTAGGTTTGTGTTTTTCCATTTATTTGTTTTTGTCCATTGCCTCCCTCGTTCCTCAGACCTTGCTTGAGACGTCTGGGTCACCGTTCACATTTGTTGTGCTAGGTTACAATTGATGCTGAAAATGTGGGTCAAAAGAGACGTCCTGCGACATTAAACAGAAGGGAACAATATTGACAGAAAATGACATGTTGTCAGAGGACAAAGAAATACCCAGTGCACTCTAAGAGACCATAAGTAAAAAAACAAGTAAATTCTTACAAAGGTGCTGAATTAAAATGGTTAATGATTGGGGTCATATTCAGAGAAAAAAAACAAAAAAAAAACAAGAGTACAAAAACAGCAACATTATCTTCTTTTTTCCCCTCGTAAATATTTGTGATTTTGGTCAAAGGCGGCTGATTTTGCCTTGTGTCATTTATATGTATTTTTTCCAAGTCTGATTTCAAAAACATTTCATTAATGCAAAGGGAAAAAAACAACACCAAATTGGAGTTATACCACCTGTTAATGCATTTAGATATACAAGTAAATATATGCAAACGAATTAGAAAAGAAGTCTAGCCTATCAAATCATATACTGGTTTCATTTGTGCTGGAGTAGTGGACGTCTGAGAGACTAATACAATAGAAATAACACAGGATCTACAGAACATCCTGACATAGATGGAAAATAGCCTGTTTTCTCAACCTCCGATCTTTCCTCTCTCCGACAAAGAGGCATGTGATCAAGGAGAGCAGGAGAAAGATGAGGTGTAACTCAATACTGCCAGTATGCATCCACCAAAAGGGAGAGCGAGTTTGAATAGTGGCGTCGCCACTAAATTTTTCATTCAAACGTGCAAATGAGGATAAGGAAATACAAAGGAGAGACAACTTGTTTTTCCACCAGCAGCAGTCTGGAATTTCTTTTGTCTTAAGTGTGATTGGTTAGATCTGATCACGTTTGTCTCCTTTTGCTTTGTCAAACTCTACACAAGACAAATCGAATAACTTTGAAAACCATAGATGGCAGAGACATGTCGTAGCTTGTGTTTGTATATGAATGTGCATGTACTGTTTTTGGGAGGAATAACTGGGCGAAACATTAACGTGTTGATTTACAAGGGTATCAATATGAAACATTTTTAAGAAATTAATGTTTTTATTCAGTAAGGTTGCATTAAATTGATCAAAGGTGACAGCAAAGGCATTTATAACATTACAAGAGATTCAAATAAATGATGTTCTTTTTAAACCTGAAAAAAAAATCTATCATGGTTTCCACAAAAATATTAAGAAGCACAATTGTTTTCAACATAATAATAATAACTTTTAAATAATAATATTAACTTTATTTTTAATTAAATTAAAAAAATTAAGAGGAAATGTTTCTTGGAGGGTATCAATGGCCAGTTTCCAGTTCTGAAGCTGTATGGTACAGTCTAACTGGCCATAGTTTAGAGCTGGGTCATAAGTGAATGGATCTCACACTATGGATTCATACTGTGTTTGTGTGTCTGTATCAGTCCTTGGGTGCATCTGCCAGCTGATTGGTCCGATGGTTAGTTGCCGCCTCCACAGCACTGGCCGCTTCTGCCCTGAGGTGCTGTCTCCTGTAAGTCGACCCCTCCTCTGGCCCGTCCGCCACTCCCTGCTCCACCTTGCGGTTCGTTCTTCGGAAGCTTCTTGGCTAAAGAGAGAGATTGAGAAGGAAAATTTCTTCATAAACGTACTAGGTTGATTTGATCTGAATAAAATCGCTAGCAGTATTTGAACGACTAGGCGTGGTGTCTGGTTGAGCGTTTTTGCGGCAGGTGAAACTGGTGTCATGTTGCCGTGTTTTGCTCCAGGCTTGAAGAGAGTCAGTAAGAGAAATGAGATCGTACCGATAGCCATGAAGATCTCGTTCACGTTCATGGCGGTCTTTGCAGACGTCTCCATGAAGAGTAGGCTGTTGTCGTCTGCGTATGCCTGCGCCTCCTAAAGAAAACATGTGGATGTGTTAAAAACATATCAGAAGTAGATTCACACAGGTTGTTTTGCGTTCATATAAACATACCTCAAAGTCAACAGCTCTCTTGTTGGCCAGGTCTGCCTTGTTGGCGGCCAGAGCAATAACGATATTTGGACTCGCCTGACGCTGCAACTCCTTCACCCAGTTCTTTGCTCTAGTGAATGTGTCCTAAGAGTGCAAAGAAAAACAGCAGAGAAGTAACTGTTAAACAAAGGAAAAAAAGATTTCTGAAGAATCATGTGACACTGAAGACTGGAGTAATGATGCTGAAAATACAGCTGGCATCATATATTTTTAATTAACTGATATTGCAATTGATTTACTAAAAACACATACATAAGCTTTTTTTTTTTATAAAAGACTTTAAAATATTTTACATATTTACAAATAAAATACTGTATTTTAAAACAATCACACATTCATATAAATTAGCTTAAGGTTGCCAACAGGAGTTGCATTGCCACTGTGACTTGCTTGACTTTGAGCAAAGGTCTGACTGTATCCTATAAAATAATAATTAACCCCAGCAGTCAGTCAGGTGAAACCTTATTATTCAGACCTTACCCTTCTGCTGAGCACACCGGCGTGATGTCAGCCTTTATTAGAGCCAATGCATGACTGGCAAAGTCACATTGCAGCTGAGGTGCCACGTAACCCTCAGCTGGTGAATGATTGGCTGTACAAGACTGATCCAACTCAGACTTAAAGGTTTTGATTTCACAATCACAGGCACTTACTGTGTTAGTAATGTCATAGACGACAATGGCTGCCTGGGCTCCTCTGTAGTACATAGGGGCCAGGCTATGATATCGCTCCTGTCCAGCTGTGTCCCAAATCTCAAACTTTACTGTTGTATCATCCAGGCAGACTGTCTGTGTGAGGAAAGCAGCTAGAAAGGAAAGAGAAACAGGAAGGTTTATGACATGACGCCAAAGTGTTTCTACCGAAGTCCTAAGAGGCCATGGATTATGAATATTTTTCTTTCTTGTTTTCTCGTGATCACGGCTTAATTTTCTTGTGATCTCGACATAACACAGAAATATAAATAGGAGTGAAAACAAAGGCCAAATATAAACACATTGACATGTGTTTATATCGTCCTAATGCACGGTGAGAAGGAGAGTTTTAGTGGCCAAAGACTCTTCAAGGATCACAGCTGGAGAATTGCAGAAAAAGGTTGAGTTTCGGGGTCAGAAAACCTTAAAAAAATGATCAAACAGCACCTACATCACCACATGTTGTTTGGGAGGGCTTCAAGCAAAAAAAATCAAGAAAAGAAAATGCTTTCACCAAAAAACAATCTCCAGCATATTCAGTTGCCAGACACGACTGGAACCTCAAACGGGACTGTCTTCTATGGTCAGATGTAACCTTTTATTGGATTTGGGATTTGAGACTTTAGTCTTTGCAACTTTACAGATCTTCTTTATGCACCAAGAGCTTGTAACACTCCAAAGAGAAAGGAAAAATTGAAATCGCATCATATGACCCCTTTAAATTCTTATTCTCCAATGAAAGGTTAGATTTTTGTGAATGTTTTAAATAAAAGATCAAAAGGATTAACAATGCAGATTTATTTTCATAGCCTTCTTTGATCATATTTACCAACGGTACCAACAATTCTGACCACGTGTGTATTTTAGAATCTTTTAGAGCTGTTGGAGGTTCGGTTCTTGCTCAAGGGTCGTGGTATTGAGGGTGCAAGAGAGCGCTGTACATTCACTCCCCCCACACAATTCCTACCAGACATGAGACTCGAACCCACAACCTTTGGGTTACAAGTCCGACTCTCTAACCATTAGGCCACGACTGCCCCACATTTATTTGATGTTTAATGTACTGTAATAATGTAATGGGGGAGGGAAAGTTGCTTTTTACATAGAGATTTCCTGAGCAGAAGGGTTAGAAATTAGATCACAGTCAAAGGGAACAGAAAGTTCCCTTTTATAAAATGTATCTCATTAGGTTTACATTTACCACTTGATTTATTTAGTAATAGTGCTAAGGTAAGTACTACCACTATTATTGCTATTGTTCAAAGGTTTGGGGTCATTGTTTCTAAAGAAATGATTGATTTTCATTCTGCAACAAAAATGCATTAAATTGATCAAAAGTGACAGTAAATACATTTATAATGCTACAAAAGATATTTCATATAAATTCTGTTTATATATACAATTAGTTTTTACTGCATTTTCAAACAAATAAATGCAGCCTTGGTGAGCATATGAGACTAATTTCAAAAACAACCCCAAACTTTTGAATGGTAATGTATACATATATAAAAATATCAGATGTGAGATGACACTTGACCAAACAACTAGCAACATGCAACAACCACTAACACCTTAGCAACAACATAGAAAGACTTTGGCAACCACCCTGAACACTTGACCATCACAATTGTGACATTTGCACAGACAAGCCCACTAAAACTGTTCAGAAAATGTAGATTTTAGAACACATTAAAATGACGCAGACACAGGAAGTGTGCGGTAGCGGAGAATAAGAAAGACCATGCAAGTTTTTAATCCCTTCAACTCAAAACTTTGTGCTGAGTCAGGTGCCATGGTCACATGTTTGTAGCACATTAATTTCTCCACAGCAACGAGCATTGCGATCTTTGACCTGCTCACTGACGACAGGATGATGGCATTGAAGGAAAATATGTAGAAGGACAAAAAAAAGTGCTGAGGATTTCCTTATTGCCAGCCTTGTGTAAGCATGTGGTATCCTGCCTGTACCAAATGTCACTCCCAGCACTTTTCTTTCCTCGTGCCTGACTTTATTCTAGAATGGATCTCTTTCTAGTGAAAATCTAACACACTTAAAGATTCCCTGAGACACTGACGACTTAAAAACTGAGGGACACACTAGCACACACACTCAGGAAATCCCATTGTTGACTGTTTCCCGTTCCTTCTGGTCGCCGAACTCCTTCCTCTTTGCTCTCTTTGTCCATGTAATTATTTAAAACAGTGTATAACATAAATCTATTAAAATGTAAAAATGAATACCATTTCAAGCTGTTTACAGCATGCACACGTTTGGTTATGAGATCAGATGTGTGCACATGCATAACTGCATGTCTGTTTTATACTGCAGTATAACTCATGTGGTAGTCATGTGATTAGCGAGTAAGAACCAGCTTGTCTGCTTTTGACCGAGCCCAGCCCTCTCACCACATATCAACACAACCTCATATATGTAGACGGTATGCTCTTTATTGAGTGTGCTCTCACTACCACTAATGTGTTGCATTATAAGATATGATCCTGTAGCTAATCTTTTAAAGGAGATAATCTAGTTTTTTTATGGAATATTTTCACTGAAGATTAACTTTAAAAGAAAAAATGTTAGATCATCTAAATGTAAAAATAGGCAGAAATGAGCATCAGAATTAAATAGCCGATATCAATCAATACTGATAACCGATTAGGTACCAATATACTGTGCATCCCTAACATTTTTTCATGTCTGCTATCTTTCACGTCACAGTTCAAGATGGAGTTTAGGGCCTGTGTGCATTCTTGTGATGCAAATTCATATTCAAAAGTGTGAGGAAATTCATCCATCTATAGAAAGTATAAGCTTGGACATAAACACACTCCGGCTAACCTCCAATGGTGCTCTCCTGATACTCGTGGAACTGGCCTTTGACGAAACGCAGCACCAGGCTGGACTTGCCCACGGCAGACTCTCCCAGCAAGACCAGTTTGAACTGGCATATTTTGTTCCCGACGGGGGCGGCACCATTGGTCCGCGCTGGTCCACCTCGCCCCGCCATGCCAACAGGCCGGACAACAGGAGAGGAGAGGGCTGACTGGATCTGAGAGGGGTCCTCGCTGGATATGACAGGGGTCCTGAACCAGGATCAATGGAGCTCAGGGGAGGATGGGTTTAAGAGAGAGAGAGAGAATCAGGGTGAGAAAGGGAGAAAAAGATGGAGAGATGGCCCCTACTGGATGAACAATCCTAGAGAAAAAAGGAGAAAGGAAGTTGATCAACAAAACACATAAACGACAAGATATAAATGGCCATATAATAAAACACTGGACTGTGACGCTCTCGAGTTGAGTGAACGGAAAGGACGGACTCATTACAGGTCGTTAACAGCTATCACACCATTCCAGCGCACTAACCATTAACCAGCCACCCCATAATGCTCCAATAAACCTCACCGTAACAAAACAGTCCCCTTTACAGATTCCACCCACACTGTGCTACAATTACAGTTAAAAGCATCAATACAAAAACACACAAAGTAAATATCAGAGTGTCATGTCACACATACACTAACCTAGTTCCCTAAATAACCTACACTTATCAGTTGTCGAAAATAATCTGCACGATATCGAATGATAAATTGCTGAAAACAGGTCAGAACCTGTTTGTTTTTGTTTTGTTTTTTTGATGTGTATATTTGTTATTCTGAGCATACCACAAACCCACATTCAGCTCAGCTTGGGGCAAAACAAATCATGGACAACAGACTGTGGCATCACACTTTCTTTAGGCTTTCAGATTGATAAATACAATAGCAGCAGGGGAAGACATATTTACGACTCCTGAAACATTTCTGTTTTTTTTGCAAACTGGGTTTCAGTGTTACTTTTGTTTATCAGAAAAGTTCCATGGATCCTCTGAAGCCAAATACAGACAGCAGAGCTAAAGTAAACCACTAAAGCAACTGAGAGAATAAAGATGAGTGAAAATGAGTGGGATTATTATAAAAGAGAGAGATACAGAAAGAAGAAATAACAGTAACTCTGAGGTCATTATTTGAGCTTGTTAAAAACAGAGCCAGATTTTCTTTCTGCTGTAGGTACGGTAATGGGCAGTGGGAGTCAAGAGAAGATAGAAGTCAATAACCGGATGGACAGACCTTCATCCACTATAGGAGAATATTCAGGTAGGCCATCAGAGGTGGTAACATGAACAACATTTTTATTTTAGCAACATTAACCTGTATATATCCTGGTAATGACTGCAGAAAAAGGCCAACTGAAGTAGTAAGTAGTGGGCAATGAAAAAAGTGATTATGGAGAGTGAGATGTCGCTGCCAGCATCAGGGCTTGAGGTTCAGCCTAATCCAAAGCATGTGGTTTAGAATCCCTCTCACACACACACTTCTGCAAAGTACACCTTCTCATGCCATTCAAAATGCCTTAATGGAGAAAGTGGTACAACCAAATAGAAACAAACAACAACAAAAAGGCTCACCAAAACTTTTTTTGGTGACACAACTTCGTTACACAGCAAAACATTGATTAAATAGACAGTTTGAATATTGTTTATCGTGCTCAAAATTTGAAAAAGTTTTTTTTTTTTTTATTAGAGAAACGCTCATCAGAATTGACAAACGCTATTTTTTTTTCTTGTGAGTGACAGGTGTAGAAGGGGCAATCACACAGAATGTGGTTTTGCTCTTAAAAACACAAGACGTGTCGGCGCCGATGGCCTCGTGGCCAGCGCACCGACATGTAGCGCCTTTGCGCTTCGGGCATCCCGAGATTGAGTCGACGGGTTGCCATGAGGAACTTTTACGTTTCTGTAGCCTATGTAAGTGTTTCCAATAAATTGATTTATTTGTGGCGCCCGCCACAATATCAAAACTGACCACCACAAACAGATTTTCCAAAAGGCTTTGACTTTGTTGAATAAACAAGAGCACTGCACGTTTCAAAATTGAAACCCGGTGCGGGTGTTTTTATATCACTGTGTTTCTGAAGGAAACCGACTGTCTTCAGAAAATTTTGGATGTCATTTTCATTTCATCTTGCATGTAATGTCTGAAAGCAGCGTTTGTGAGCGGAGCGCTGCTTTGTGTACAGCGTTACCGGGGAAACCTCGATCTCTACCACTCCAACAGCGCCTACGCCAACAGCGCCGCCTGCTGGCAGAGAATGAATTTGCATATATATGCCACCACAAATAGAGTGCAAGTCTGTGGGAAACACTGCGATAGTTTTACTCAAATGAAACGGTCAAATGATCATGAAGTGACTCTCAGAGGGAGGCAGAGCAGTTCTGGAGATGTTGTTAATGTATTTATGTCCTAAAGTAATGAGACGAATCTGCATCGCGGAAATCATAGATAATATTGAGGTGTTTTGCAACTTCAGTGTAACGTTAGTGGATTGTGATTTATTGCAACTTAAGCAAAGTCTGCTGCTGCCTTACCTTTGAGAGACAACTGATGCGTGATCACTGAAGCAGCTCCAGTTAGCAAAGGAGTGAGAGTGAATTCCACATTGATTGGTCGAACTCGTGACTCCCAACAAATCAGATGGGCGGTGGGCGGAGATTGCTTTTAGGGATGCGCCGATCCAATATTCATATTGGGTATCGGCTCCGATAGTGCCATTTTTCTCGGATTGGGTATCGGTCAGAGAGAGCCGATCCAAAACCGAGAATTTTATTTTATTTTTTTCTCGATTGTGCGAATTATTCTGTGTTACTTCTGAAGCCATACAATAGCTTAATGTGAGCTAAATATGAATATTTAAGTCCTTACATTAAAGTTCACACAAACTCTTTTCTCCGCTGTGGCTGTCAGTCATTTGTTCAGCCTTTAAACCCTGGTCGCGTTCAGTTACAGCAGTCAGCTCGGTAAAGCTCTCTCCAAGATTATTCTGTGTACCCATTAGTGCTGGGCGGTATACCAGTTCATACCAAATACCGGTGTTTATTTTTGTTATGATATGAATTTTTAAAATACCGCAATACCGGTGTATGTTGCTTAAACAACGTTCGGAACGCAACACTGTTTGAAAAGGGTCCGTTTTCTTGACTTTCGCTTGAAAACCATCCATCGTTTCCTCAATATGCACGACATTTTTGCTGTAGCTGAGAAGGTATACTCTCGAAGCGCTGTTTCGTTTGCCCTTTGATGTTTCTCATATGCAACAGAAATTGAAGCGCTTAAGAGTTGACCAACGCGGTGGTCGCACCAGTGCGACCGCACACAAAATTTAGTCGCACAGGCAGAAAAAATGCCCTGCATAAGTTCATAAGTGCAGCGCTCCTTTCTTTACAGCGGAAACCAAGAAAATGCTTTAAGCGCCACCTGCTGGCAGAGAGTGAATCTGCGTCTCATTCAGCTCTGCTGTTTCTGCTTCATGCAGATATTTTTTATTCATAGTTTCACAAAACTGAAGTCAAACTAGGGCTGCACGATAAATCGCATGCGATTTACTACACAGAGCCGTTGTTCACTGACAAGCTGCGCAAAAAATCGCGCGATTATGAACGTGGTTTTGCGCAGCTTGCCAGTGAACAACGGCTCTGTGTAGTAAATGCTGCTCCATGTGAAAGCCCGCACGTGATGGAGATTTACCGCTGACTACAGAAGCGGCTTTACTGACAAGATGCGCATTAAATATCATATGCGATTTATCGTGCAGCCCTTATCGGTGCCGATAATCGGTCGACCCCTGCGACTTTTTACAGTTGCTGCCACAGCAACATTTCTAATTTTTTATTAAAGATTAATATCTTTTTTTAATCTAATATTTATATTATATTTCTGTTTTATTTCAATTAAGATTATTTTACAATAACAACAACGACACAAAACAAAAGTTCTCACATCTTATCATGGGGTCTTGAGAAGCTTAAAAACATATTGTCTTATAGCTTTAGGCTCATATCAATGTATGTGCGGTCTTAAGTGATGACTCATCTAGCTGACCTGTCAATCGAGCCTCCTCAGGCCACATTATTGACTTCCTCATGAAGTCCTACTCTTTCACTTCTGATCTGCCTGCGCCTCCCACGAGCTCTGACCACAAGCTCTCAACTGAACGCTGGTGAACCTGCTTCACTGATAAAAACAGCCTTCAGAAAAAGTTGTTAAAGGAGATAAAAAGACATGTAGATGTACGTTTGGAGAAGTATCACCTTACTAATCGCAGAACAATCTGCGTTTTGCGACAGCACGCAGATGCGTGTAGCTGCTGCATCATAACGGTCAAATGATAAACCGTGAAAACAAGGAAGTCCTGCTGTAGATGGTCAAACTTCAGAGCTGCTGCTGATCAAACACACATATGTCTGTGCACACACCCATACAAGCCTTCTGCATTAAACGGAACTTTTGCCGTAAGATTCATATTTAGAATATGACAGATAGACAGAGAGGCCCGAGTTATTCCTTTATCGTGTCGCTCATGGAGAGATCCAGAGGAGCGGCTCAGGAGCGTCATGAGCATCGGCTAACAGTCTTGACAGTTCCGCTGTATCAGTAAACCACGACCAGCTAACAATAGCCTATCAATAATCATATCAGTACCAAAACCAGACAGCGGTTACCTTGAGATATGAGTGCGGCGCTTTTCTCTTTCTGTCAAATCCCTGGCTGTCAGGCTGAGATAAAATTCCCCTCCTGCTGCCTGAAGCGTCTCTAGTCAACGGGCCTTGGCCTTCACTTCCGCTTTGAGGGACGAACTTCCGTAATCCGCCTTCTTCCGAGGAGGTGGGGCTTGTTTTTGATATACGTGGTGGTGGCCAATAGAATCGCGCTTATATTTCTCATCCACGACAAGATTATAATAAATGTAAACTTTTTTTTAGCCTTTAATTACTTTTTCTCATTTTAAGTATTGAAAGATACTTAAAATACTTTCTAACTTGTTGTGTTAGGCAGTGATGTTATTAACTAAACCTAAAACTATTTAAAAATCGTTTATGTTAATTGAAATAATGCAGAAATAAAATATAAATATAAATGTTAGATGAAAAGAAATGAAAATTTTAAACGCTGCCTGGCAACTAACTAAAATAAGTTTATGTTGATGTACTAAAATAAATTAAATAAAAGCAAATTAATGCCAAAGAAAAATATATTTTATTATATAAAAATAATTTTTTAAGCAAAATTACTAAAACTTAAAAATTGGAATAAAATCTATAAAAATAAAAAAATAAAAGCTAAATAATAATAATAACAACAACAACAACAACAACAAGCCCAAGGCATATCTGACCATTACCATTGCATGACAGTGTTGATTAAGATTTATTTTATGTTATTGTTTCTTTTTCTTTCTTTCTTTCTTTCTTTCTTTTTCTTGCCCTTTTAGTGTCTATTGAAAGCAGATTAGTTTCAATACTATTTTACTTTGATAACATAAATAAACAAAACTGACTTTATTAACCACATAAGTCAATTAAGATAGGGTTATTTGGGCATACAGTCATTTATCATATTTAATAATAATAAGGTAATAAGATGCCACAGCAATTTACATCTGCTCTGTAGACTGGAAAACGGACCCATGCTTTCTGTTATAACAAGCTTTACCTGAAAACAAGATCAGCTGTGCATGTGGCTCAAGGTCATGTACTAACCAATAATCACCAAGCTGGGGCGCTACAGGCTAATTACATTTACATTTACATTTACATTTAGTCATTTTGCAGACGCTTTTATCCAAAGCGACTTACAATTGGGGATTACAATTTTTAATGGATTATTATTATTTTTTATTATTATTATTATTATTATTATTATTATTTCGTCAAACGCTGGATGATTTCTGTCAGGTAAAGTACGCCTGTGATTCTTAACCTTTTTTGCTCTAAGGCCCCTAGTTGTCCAAGACAATATTCTAAACAAAAATAAACTAAGATATTTTCAGTATTTCTAATATTTATGCTACAATTGCGACAAAGCTGCTTGTTTAAAAAAAAATTTTATCAAAAGAAGCAGGGAGTATTGATATATTACATTTAATTAAACACACAATTTATTTTGTGATTCCATAAGTTTTAAGAACTGTTTGTTCTTCAATTAAAGCCATAGCCATTGAGGGTCAATCATAAGGTCCCACTAGTTAACATTAGTTAATGCAATAACTAACATTAACTAACATTAACAATAGCAATACATTTGTCACAGTATTTATTAATCTTTGTTAATGTTACTTGATAAAAATGTCAGCTCATGTCCATTAAAAATATTAATAGATATTAACTTTTTTCATGGCTAGTTCATGTTAACTAATGTAGTTAACCAATGTATTTTAAAGGGGTCATATAATATTGCTAAAAAGAACATTATTTTGTGTATTTGGTGTAATGAAATGTGTTTATGCGGTTTAAGGTAAAAAAAAACACATTATTTTCCACATACTGTACATTCTTGTTTCTCCTCTATGCCCCGCCTTTCTGAAACGCGTCAATTTTTACAAAGCTCATCGGTCTGAAAAGCGAGGTGTGCTCTGATTGGCCAGCTATCCAGTGCGTTGTGATTGGCCGAATACCTCAAGCGTGTGCCGGAAATGTTACGCCCCTTAACACACTGATGATGCCCTGTCCGGCCGGAGCGAAAGCACCAAGAGCTTGTAACACTCCAAAGAGAAAGGAAAAATTGAAATCGCATCATATGACCCCTTTAAAAATAAAACATTATTGTAAAGTATTACTTTTGGATTTTACGTGTTGTTTTAAGATAATTTTAAATGATTAATAACAATTTATTAATTAAAAAATGTACACAGAAAAAAAGGTACAAAATCTTGGGGCGGTACCTTTCCAAAAGGAGTGCATTTTAATACATTGAAGGTACATATTAGTACCTAAAGTATACATATTAGTACCTTTTTAAAGATTACCACGCCAGTGACAGCTTTTGTTCTGAGTGTACCTTATAAAGTTTGATGAAGCCCCCGGGGTTGAGAAACTCTGAAGTAAGGATGCCCTAGAACAGTTTTATTACGCATATCTGATATGTTTCAATAGGCTACAACCTTCCTTTATTTAGTTCCCACTCACATATTGCTGTCAAATTAAATCAGATCTTTTCTACACTGCGTTAGATGCAACAAAACCTGCTAATTACTACCCAGCAGTATATGTAGAACAATCAGTGAGCAGTGTGTCATTAAAGTTATGCATATGGCGAGTACACATATGCTGCCATATTCTCAACAACTGCTTTATGCCATTAATAACCGTGCTAAATTTTACTCAGACACACAGCAACTGTTTCTACTCATTATCCGAGAAATATTACGCATTCAGTATATGAATACAATAATAATAATAAAAAAATAATTTCCCTATGACCAAAAGATTGGCACTCTGATGACAAAATAGGCTTATTTGACCACATACAGGCCTAACTCTAGCACCATCAGTCAATGTTCCAGCTACATTTCAAATAAAAACAGCAGAAAAAGATGCATATAGATATATATAGATATAGAAATAGATATCCCTTATGAAATGTTGACATGAGGCATATATCGGCCTGGGGAGGAGCTGAGAGATAACAGGTTGTTAGTCAGATTATCCCACAACCAAGCAGCATGTGTGGGTAGCCTCCTGCGGCTAATGATGTGTCTGGAGCCCTGATGTAGACAGAAAGAGCGAGATGGTGGGCGTCTAAAGAAACATCTCTTCGGAGAAGATCAGTGCAGCATAGCCGCCTCAGTATGTGTGGTTTAAACTAGATTTTTCGACTATGTGTCTTTACTTCAATGTGAGGTTAAGCATATTCGGATGTTGCAGTCACATCAGCTGAATAATAAAACAACAGTTACCATGTTGATTTTCGATAGTTTCACATAATAGTCATTTTACATAATAATACCAATACAATGTTTTTGTTTTTTAATTTAAGGAAGGACAACATGGTTTTGCATGTAATCAAGTATACTGTACTCCATTAAATGAGCAATGACTGGCAAACAGATTTGTGGTTTATTCTCTGAAGAATTTAGTCAGGCGCAGTCGAGAGATAAGGAAATGGAAGATTTATTTAACAATACAGGTATGAAAGAGGCCCAGAAAAGATATATGAAGAGAAAGAATAAATCAAGTTCTTTGAATATTCTGTGAAAAATGAAAAAAAGAAAAGAGGCTCAGCAACAAAAATAAATTTATATTGCTCTGCACATACTTTTATAAACATTCTGTGTGAGACCATAATAAAAATGTTTTTTTTTTATAAAGAAACTTATAAAATGAAAGTTCTGGCATTATTTTAATAATTTATACAAAATACATTATGTTAAAAATGTTGGTAACAACTGACTTCCACTGTAAGGGCAAAAAAACAAAACAAAACAAAAACAGACATTTCTTTTATGGTCCACAGAAGATGATGACAGATTTTAGATTTTTGTGTGAACTATCCCTTTAACACACTCGAAAATGTCAGGGAAATAAAATGCAATTAATCTTTTGTTATTAAATCATGAAATTAGGTACAAGTGTTTTAAAATGAGGCTTTGAAAAATATGCAGTGTGACAACAGCCTGTAAATTCTGGCTCTTCATAATCTATGACTCAGTCCTAAGGGACACCCGTCTTATACAAAACCTACACGGTGAAACTGCCAATGTAAAATCAAGCCATATGGAGCAAAATAAAATTAACCAGTGGAAACAGATTTAACCTAAATACAATTAAGTATGACTCACAGACCTTAAAGTCCTACTTGAATCGAAAAAGAGGCGATTTTGAAACAATAGGCACGGTTTTGCACATTATCGTGCATGTCTAGCATAACCCACATACACGGCTCCCACAATGCATTGCATTTGGTTAAAATGGAGGCATTATCCATGCAGTAGACAAAGAGTGTCTTAGAATACTTTTAAAATGTCCATCACTCCTGCTCAGCGACGACTCAATCATTGTGTCGCTCATCAGCAGGTCCTGGTTTCCCCTGTTTTTCGCCATTGGATGATACGATGGGCTCAAGTGTGTGAACAGGACTCGATCCCACCATGTCATTCTGTCTCGGACCTGTGGGGAAATGCAGCAAGCTGGAACTACAAATCCCAGAATGCAAAAGTGAACTGACTGCTATAAGGGGCTCTGATGGGCCGGTTGGTGTAACTGATAAATGGATGGGTGTGGGCGCCCTGTTGTGCAGGTCAGAGGTCATCTGTACGTTTAAAGATGGATGCGACTGACTCTGGATGTTATGGGTGCACAGAGACAATGTGTTGCCAGGACTCCCACTCCTAACCTGAGGAACCAAACCACTGGATGGAAATGCCGCCAAGCCTAGGAGTGACCCGCCATTGCGGGGAACATGGTGTCCTAGATAAGGAGAGTTGGGTGTGGTTTTAGAAGTCTGACATGAGTTTGGCTGACTCTCTACACCCAAGGTGGCGACCCTTTCCTGGTCGGGGCAGCATGGAAAATAGGTTGAGTGAGGACTGGGAGCTTGATGGAGGAGCTCTATGTCCCCTTCCTGCCCCAAGACAGAGCCTCTTTCCTGGGCATGGCTCCCGCTGCAAATGCACGTGTGCCTGGATCCTAAAGAATCTCTCCGAGACGCCTCCGGCTGCAGGCAAGGACCGGCAGACATGGTAAAGGCCAGTCTAGATGGCCAGTCTGTGGTTGAGGAGGCCACGCTGGTACAGTTGGATGATGTATGACAATTGAAAGAGCTGAAGGGAGTGAAAGAGGACGTGAAGTGAGGTGGGGTCACGTGCA